TTATCTCTAAGGTGTGTCTCTTGTAGGCAGCATATGGATGGGTTGTGTTTTCTTACCCAATCTTTTTTTTTTTTTAAAGATTAAAAAATGTCAACAAGTACTGAGTCTCTATAATGGCAGGTGGATGCTCATTATAATATTCCCTCTGCTTTTCTCTGTTTCAAAATGTTCATAGCAAAAAGAAAAAAAGGAACGTAATTTGTAATGAGATTTCATCTATTTCTACAAAAGATTTTATTCCAAAACTAGTAACTAAATATTGTATTCCATTGATAATCTTTTATATAACCATAGTTATTTTAATTTGTTTGATGCTTTCTGCTTTCAGTAACAAATTTTAAAATTTAAAAGTAAGGTAAGATTGAAAATTTAGAGAAAACCAGCCAAGAAAAAAAACACCTTAATTCCTCCATACTAACAAATTCAACTATTGTACTATATTCTTCTTCTAGTCTTATTTTATATGCACATATTTTTATATAGTACTTATAATAAACATTTAATTTTATATCTCTAACATCATGTTATATGCCTTGTCTATGTTATTACATTGTCTTCCTGTGGTCTATGACATAATTATTCAACTATTAGAAAAGTAGAAATTGTTTTCCTTGGATTTTGTGGGGGGGGAAATGGGGCTTCTCTTTTTTTTTTAATATTCTTTCAGTTTTTCACTTACTTGATTACTAGATTGAAATTTTTTCCTGTATGCTTATTTGTTAATTATATTTGATCTGCCTATTCATATGTCTTCCCAAGTTACATTTTATGTTCCTAATTTTTTAAAAATCTCATTTCTTAGTATTTTGATATAATAAAAACATTAATCCTTGGTTGTTGTAATGTTAGGTGTCATCGAGTCAATTTCAACTCATAACGACCCCACATGACAGAGTAGAATTGGTCTGTGAGGTTTTCTAGTTTGTACTCCTTGTGGAAGCAGATCACCAAGTCTTTCTCTCATAGAGCCCCTGGGTGGGTTTGCACTGTTGACTTTTCAGTTAACAGCAGAGTAGTTAACTGTCATGTCACCAGGGCTCCTTGATCCTTGATTCATGGTCCTGTATCTTTAAAATTATATGGGGTAGAACAAATACCTTAAAGTGAGCCTTTTGTCTTATTTTCTGCATATATTCTGTGTAGACTGTGGTTAACTACCTTGGAGGTAGAAAGCAGAAAGAGGACAGAAGAAGAGTGACAGTGCTATATAGATAAACTTAGTTGATTTTCTGGATATGTCAGAGACCATCTCTGTGTATGATACCATTATCAATTAAAATCAACCACCTACGTTTTTTAAAGACTAACTTAGGAAAACCAACCAACAATTTTGGATAAATTTAGTAATTTTTAAATTACTCTTTCAGTACTATTTGAACATTTCATTAAAGAATAGTAAACGCTAGCTAGATTAGCTAATGATGCCTAAAAATATATTTTTTACTGTAACATGTTACCTTCCACAGTATGCACACCCTTAGGTATTTAATTATTTGGTTGTTAGAAAATAGGGTCAAGTACTTGTGTGCAGAGATAACATTTTAAATATGCTTTCATTGTTTTGTTTATTAAGACCACTATGATGACAAGGGAACAAATACAGAAAGAATATGATGCATTAGTTAAAAGCTCAGAGGAACTCCTCAGTGCATTGCAGAAGAAAAAACAACAGGAAGAAGAAGCAGAAAGGCTGAGACGTATTCAAGAAGAAATGGAAAAAGAAAGAAAGAGACGTGAAGAAGATGAACGACGTCGAAGAAAGGAAGAGGAGGAAAGGCGGATGTAAGGCCCTTACATTGTGGTTATTTGAATTAGATACAACCAGAATAGTGAATTCTTGGTGTTGGCAGCGGTTAATAAATATTCTTTTTAAAACTATATTTTTATTTGAAAAATTAATTTTTGAATAAGTTTGGAAGTTGAGAGAATAGCTTATTGTATAATATGTATAACCTAAATAAAATGATTTCTACCATAATCTGAGTTTTGGGTTAGAATTTTACACCTGAGGATTTCTAGACTTCTTTTTTAAAACTGTGAATTGTCTGAGAGCTTTGGTGACATAGTGTCTAAAGCATTTGACTGCTAACCAAAAGGCTGGCGGTTCAAACCCACCAGCCATTCCTCAGAAGGAAGGTTGGGCAATCTACTTCCATAGAGATACTGCCTCGGAAACCCAAGGAGGAGTTGCTATGAGTTGGAAATGACTTGACAGCAGTTGGTTTGGTTTGGTTTTGATATGACTTATATATTATTTTATAAGCTAGAAAAAAGGGCACTACTATTTTCCTACAGTCTAAAAACTAACAGTTTTTTTTGGGAGTATTTCCATGATAGGGTAGATAAAAGAAACGCATACAGAGAAACACATATAATCAGGGTCTTATAGCTAGGGTTTGTAGCCAAGGTAATCTCTATTTTTTAAAGGATACAGAATATAATCATATTTGTTCTGTTTCAGAAAAATTACTGTCAGTAGAGTTAGATTTTATTTTATTCAAAATAAGTTGATAATATATATGACTAGGAGGTTAATTTGAGTTCCATTCTATAACCTTTGTTTATTAATAGTTATATTGCTTCTGAATGATTCCTTATTTTGTATTATGTTTTTAAAGAGTTTTCTGTCATTGTTAGGAAACTTGAAATGGAAGCAAAGAGAAAACAAGAAGAAGAAGAGAGAAAGAAAAGGGAAGATGATGAAAAACGTATTCAGGTCTGACCTTACTAGATAATTGAATTTCCATCAAAATAGAATCTTCAAAATTATACAACAAAAGAAATGAAGACAAAATCTTGATATGCTACATCAACTGTCACTAGTTAGTCCCTGAAACCAAAGGCAGTTTCTGAAGTGGTCGTGGGAGGGACTTTGGAGCTGGGGAAGTGGTTCTGAATAAAGCTCTGTCACTGGCATAAATTGTGACATTGCACAGGTCACGATATGTGACTCTTTGGGCCATGATTTTCTTGGTGGAATTGAAATAACTAATAGTTGTGAGGGGGCTCTGGTAGCGTAGTGGCTAAGGCACTGGACTGCTAACCAGAAGGCTGGCGGTTCAAACCCACCAGCTACTCCTCGGAAGGAAGATGGGGCAATCTACTTCTGTAGTGATACTGCCTCAGAAACCCAAGGAGGGGTTGCTATGAGTTGGGTTCGACTTGATGGCACATAACAACAACAGCAATAGTTGTGAGCATTAAATGTGTTAACACATGTTAAACTGTTTAGAATAGTGCCTAGCTCAGTAGTTATTAATTTTGTTAGTTTCATTATTACAATACCTAGGGGAAAGTCAGAGGAACATTCTTTCAAAACATAATTATTTTTAAATGTTTTAAAACTTTGTAGATATTAGTATTAATAAGTTAGGATTGTAATACTTTCCCCATCCCCATTTTTTAAAAAAATCCCATCTGTGTCTGAGAATAATTGATCATATATTTGTCTGTTTATCTTGGCTTTCATAATGTATCCTGAGTATAACCATCATTTAAAATTTCTGACATCTGCTCTCTGGCTGTTGGTGTTAATATGATATCTAGTTGGTATCGTTGTTAGATGCCACTGAGATGGCTCTGACTTATAACAACACTATGTGCGGTAAAACAAGACGTTACCTAGGCTTGCTTCATGTTCATGATCGTTGGTGTGCTGGAGTCCATTGTTGCAGCCACTGTGTCTTTTGAGTACCTTCTGAACTAGGGGACTCATCTTCCAGTACTATAGTGGACAGTATTCTGTGATCCATAAGGTATTCATTGGCTAATTTTCTGAAGTAGATTGCCAGGCTTTTCTTCCTAATCTGTCTCACTGATACCTACCTAGAATACTCATATATGGTATACTCATTAGAATGGTGGAGCTGTGTTGTGTGTCTCTACCTTTTCTTGGAGTTGGCAAAGAAAGGAGAAATGGAGATGTTTGTGGAGCTTGAAGCTTAATATAGAAGACAGAGACTGAAGAGATTTGTGGCTAAACAGTATTATCTTTCTGAGTAAATAACTTGTATGGAAGAGTCACCTTTCCCGTTTATTTTAATAGTAATTGGGATAATCACGTAAGCCAGTGGAGACCGCTGGTGAAGTTGGCTCTCTGTCCCTGGCAGGCTGAAGTGGAGGAGCAGCTGGCCAGACGGCGGGAGGAGGAATCTCAGCAGCAGGCGGTTCTGGAGCAGGAGCGGCGGGACCGGGAGCTGGCCCTGAGGATCGCGCAGAGTGAGGCCGAGCTCATCACCGACGAGGCCCAGGCCGACCCAGCGCTCCGGAGGTACGGGCTCCGCTGGTGTGGTCCAGCACCCTCTGCTTTGCTTTCTTCACCTCTCTGCTTCTCATTTCCATGTTACAGGAAAATAGGGGAAAATCTTGCTCTTTAGGTCCTCATATATTTTAAGTAGAAATATTTTAAAATTATTTTTACCTACTTATACACCCAGGAGCTCTGGTGGTGCAGTGCCTAAGGCACTTGACTGCTAACCCGAAGGCTGGCGGTTCAAACCCACCAGCTACTCCTTGGAAGGAAGAGGGGCAATCTACTTCCGTAGTGATACTGCCTTGAAAACCCAAGGAGGGGTCACTATGAGTCAGGTCTGACTTGACAGCACATAACAACAACAACAACAACAACAACACTTATATACCCAAGTGAATGCAACAGTTGATTTTCTATTACATTGTTAAACTGTTGAAAAATGGAAGTGTGATGTTTCCAATAGTGAGCACTTTGTTAAAAAAACATCTCAACTTTTACCCTGAAACTCTCTGAGAGTACTGTATGTACATTAGGTGAAAATCTGATTTCTAAATGCTTGTCATTATACATTAGCATAGGAATTAGTGAATATATTATAGTTTAATTTATTTTAGGTTGGGATTTATTATTTTCCTAATGCAAAGGTTTTTTTTTTTTTTTTTTTTAATTAAATATTGTATACACCTTAACACTTGGGATGAGAAGAAAATTATACAACAATGTCTCACAGTGTCTTAGAATAAATGGGTTTTCCTTTCCAAGAAGAACAATTAACCAGTCTGAAATAGAGTGTTTCCTTTGGTTTCTCTATTATCTCTAAATCCTATACTTTAGTGGTGTGTGTGGGACTGTGAAAATTCATATTAAAAGGTCCAAGAAGGTTTTAATATATCTGGTTCATTTAAGAAAGTAGTTTAGAATGTAGACATCTGTTATTTTGATTATTTACTTAAATACACACTGTAGAAACAAAGAAAAACTAGTCCCTGTATATGTGAATATATATGTTGTACATATATATATATAAACCAAACTCACTGCCATTGAGTCGACTCCAACTCATGGCGACTCCTCCTTGGGTTTCTGAGGGGTATCTCTTACAGAAGTAGATTGCCTAATCTTTCTTCTGAGGAGTGGCTGGGTGGGTCTGAACCACCAGCCTTCTGGTTAGCAGTCAGATACCTCTAGGCATTACACTACCAGAGCTCTCACATGTATGTATGAGAGAGACACACATAACTATCTGTAACCATACTTAGGATTTGAGGGCACCAGTTTATGAGAAAATAAAACTGAAGCACAGCCACTAGATGGAGCTATTTCCCTGTGAAAGGAAAAAAACTTAGCTTCTGATTGCAGACATTGGTTAGTTTTAAGAACCCTGACGGCACAGTGGGAGCTCTGGTGGCATAGTGCCTAAGGCATGTGACTGCTAACCATAAGGCTGCCTGTTCAAACCTACTAGCCAATCCCTGGAAAGACGGTTGGGCAATCTCCTTATGTAGTGATACCACCTCAGAAAGCCAAGGAGGGGTTGCTATGAGACGGATCCAACTTGACGGCACTGAGTTAGGTTTTTTTTTTTCGATGGCACAGTTATCAGGTCTCTGGTGGTATAGTGCCCACAGCATTTGACTGCTAACCAGAAGGTTGGCGGTTTAAACCCACCAGCCACTCCGTAGAAGAAAGATGAGGCAATCTCCTATAATGATTTACCTCCTTAGAAACCCAGTGGGAGTCACTGTGAGTTGGAATTGACTTGATGGCAGTGAGTTGGTTTGATTTTAATGGCACATTGGTTAAGCTCTCAGCTGCTAACTAACTGAGAGTCAGTAGTTGAACCCACCCACCAGCAGCTCTCCAGGACAAAGATAGGGCAGTCTGCTTCCATAAAGGTTACAACCTTGGAAACCCTATGGGGCAGTTCTACTGTATCCTAGGGGGTTGCTGTGAGTTGAAATCGACTTGATGGTGGTGGGTTTCGTTAGACTTTATTTTATTGAAAAGACGGGGGAAAGAAGAAGTGTATTATAGGTTGCCTTCAGATTTTTATCTGATAAGTAATTATATCGGGAAACTCTGGGCTCTGAAGCATATGAAAATATAGTATATTAAAAAATGAAATGAGTGGCTGCTCTGGTTATTTGTTTTCAAGTTGATTCTGACCCCAAATAAACTGAATAGGCCTATACAAATACTAGACATTATAATAATGATCGAGCTTTGGGATTTGAGTTCAATATTTGGCCTTTCATTAGCATATCAATATAATTAAAGTATTTTAACCCAGTTGTGGCCTTTGTGAGGCACTGTGGTAGCACACTGATTAAAGCATTTAGCTGCTAACCAAAAGGTAAGTGGTTTGAACCCACCAGCCACACTATAGGGGAAGGATGAGACAGTCTGCTTCCATAAATATTTACAGCCTTGGAAACCCTATGGGGCAGTTTTTCTCTGTCCTATTTGGGAGCTCTGGTAGCATAGTGGCTAAGACACTTGCCTGCTAACCAGACGGCTGGCGGTTCAAACCCACCAGCCACTCCTC